ACACTCTGGGGCTAATGTTATCATACTCGCGTAATGTTCTGTAAGCAACTACTGTCCTGTCCCGAGCATGTTATATTATTACCAAGAACAATTTGTTAATCCTGTGAATAGTGTATTATTATTATTATTTCCTTTAATTCCTAGAGGAACATAGGGCTTCAGCCATGCGTCTCCATTGCGTTCGGTTCTCTGCTAGAGTCTTCACCTGGCTCCATGTCTGCCCACACGCTTTCATCTCCTCTTCACATGACCTCCTCCAAGTCACCCTCGCACTGACGACCAACTCGTCGCTTCCCTTTCGGGTTCCACTCGAGCGATGGCTTGTCTAGTGATGTCACTTGATGGTTTGTTTTCTCAAAGTATGGCTAGCCAATCCATCTCCATTTCTTCCTGCCTATTTGTTTCACAATCGGTTCCTGCTGTGTTGGTTCGCTCATTGCCAGACATCTCTGTTGCTGATCTTTTCTGGCCGGCCATCTGATCTTGAGTGGTATTGAGCGAAGACAACTGTTAATGAATGTCTGTAGTTTGTTTGAGATGCTCTTTATGACGCGCCGTGCAAGTCTCTGATCCGTATAGTAGCACTGACTGACTTCACATTGGAGTTGAAAATCCGGATCTTATTTTTGATGCTGAGTACTGTTGACCTCCACACAGACTTGAGAGTAGTGAAAGCTTGTCTTGCTTTTCCGATCCTCACTGCTTTGATATCCATGAATAGTGTATATCGAAGTGTAATTTTTAAAAATATTTTTCTATTGTTACCACTCACTGTGTACTGTTGTAATCATGTGTTTTTTGTTTTTTATATGTGTACAGAGTAACAGTTTATTTTCGCATGTATGCATGTACACATACATGTGTTGTGTATGTGTGTGTTGTACTCTATGCGCGTCGTAAGTTGACGTTGTCTTCAGTTAGCATCTCATTGTTCATGTTGGTTGGTTGGTTAGTTAGTTGATTAGTCGTCATTTTATCATTTCAGAGAAGAGTCTCTTTTCGGCGGCGAATTCATTCACTCACCTGTACAATCGCAATTATATATACTTATTTATGTCTGCGTGTCTGCGTTCTATCTCCCGTGTGAAGTGGTATGATAAGGTGAGCAATATTGAGGTTAGGCGTCGAGTGCTAGGTAAGGCGGGGGAAATCAATAGAGGAGACTGTGAAATTACATCGACTGAGATGGTTAGGACATGTGCTACGTATGCCTAGTCATCGCCCTCCTCGACAATGGGAAATGTTAGCTGACATAGGGCCAGGCTGGAAAAGAACTAGCGGTGGTTAAACCAAAACATGGCACCAGTCAATGAAATCCACAACAGTTAGATTAAGCCAGCCACGTAGGAAGGTGTAGACTGGCTTCCTGGTTGGGGTCCTCGGGACAGTAAAAACCAATGGTTGGAAACAATTGGTGATATGGCTCAAAATCGTTCTCAATGTCTGGCGCAGATGCATCCACTCCTTGTGACTCATGATTTCCAATGAAATGTTTTGTTCTTCGTTATTACTATTCCTTTGTCTCACACCTCTGTTTACTGTCTATATTATGCATTTCTCATACTTCCTTCTCTTGCTTTGTGTGCTACAAGGAGTGAAGTGTGGCGACTCGAACTGCTGCACATATGTGCAAAGTTCTATGTCGAAAACCGACCGACCGACTTATTTATGTATGTGTGTGTATGTGTGCACATTAGCTTTATCAGACAAGAATAAAATTAGGGTTAGTTAGTTAGTTAGGGTTGTTGTTGTTTACGTCATCAAAATATTTGAAAAAATATGATGAGTAATCAAACTGTAACTAGGGGGATATGCTGAAGATTAATTAGTATGAAGGTAGTGCTGATGAGTTGTCACACATAGTTGTCCACGTTACTCCTCCAATGCATAAGAAAAGTTGAATAAGCGTAATACAGTTATGTAATATAAGGTTAATAGTTTAATGGATGCGTGAGTTGTGATTAAGATGCACATAGAAATGAAGCGAAGGACAATATGGAATTATGTAAGAGTTGTGAAGAAAGAAATACAAGAGTTCTAAGGAGTTGGAAAAGCAGGCACACAAACATCAAGTGAGTAGAAATCAACACGGTTGTTGCCATGATAGTAGAACTGGTGGAGGGATTTTTTGGCATACCTAACTCTGGTTTTCGTAACAAATGGCTAAAGGAGACGAAGGCGTTATTACCTTTGGTAGGTTTGCTCTTGAGATTGACTGTGTAGATTATTTTGAAGCAGGAGGCGTTTGTTGAGATGAAATGACCAGTGTTGACGAGATGTTCTTGTTTTTTCTAACTCCTTATAACTTTTGATATTTCTCCACAACTGTTACGCAACTCCATATTTCGCTTCGTTTCCATGTACATCCTAATGACAACTCACGCATTCATTAAACTGTTCATCTTATTACGCAACTATTATTATTATTATTGTTTCCATTGTCTCCATTGCGTTCGGTTCTCTGCTATAGTCTTCACCTGGCTCCATATCTGCCCACACGCTTTCATCTCCTCTTCACATGACCTCCTCCAAGTCACCCTCGCACTGACGACCAACTCGTCGCTTCCCTTTCGGGTTCCACTCGTGCGATGGCTTGTCTAGTGGTGTCACTTGATGGTTCGTTTTCTCAGAGTATGGCCAGCCAATCCATCTCCATTACTTCCTGCTTATTTGTTTCACAATCGCCTCCTGGTTGGTTCGCTCATTGCCAGAGATCTCTGTTGCTGATCTTTTCTGGCCGGCCATCTGATCTTGATTGGTATTGAGCGAAGACAACTGTTAATGAATGTCTGTAGTTTGTTTGAGATGCTCTTTATGACGCTCAGTGCAAGTCTCTGATCCGTATAGTAGCACTGACTGACTTCATATTGGAGTTGAAAATCCGGATCTTATTTTTGATGCTGAGTAGTGTTGTTGACTTCCACACAGACTTGAGAGTAGTGAAAGCTTGTCTTGCTTTTCCGATTCTTGCTTTGATATCCTCGTCAGATCCGTCTGCCTGTAGTTGAAACGATGCTTCCCAGGTAGGTAAAGGAGGTTGTTTCTTTCAGGTTCCTTCCATTTGTGCTGGCTGACTGTTGTCTGTTGTTGTTAGTGGTGTTGCCCAGGAATCTTCATCACCTCTATTTTCTCTATGTTCACCTGAGGTGAATTCCTATATTCTCTGGATGATTCTTCTGCCAACTTGTTGCTTTTCGCTTGCATATCTTCCAGTTTGTGGGCAATCAGACATATATCATCGGCGAAGTGCAGATCCTCCAAGTTTTTTGTGTGAGTCCATTACGCAACTACAATACACTAACTCAGCTTCTTTTATGCACTGACTAACGCTGGCAACTATGGTTGTGACAACTCATCGGCACTACCCTCTCGCCATTGTTCACCACTCCTCCCCCTTGTTACAATGTGATTATTCATCGCATTTTCGAAATGTCCTGACAACAATAACCGTAACCCTAATTTTAATCTTGTCTGGCAAAGCTAATGTACACACAAATGTAAAAATAAGTACATATATATATATATATATTATATATATATAAATGCTAGTGTACAGCCAAGTGAATGAATTCGCCGACGAAATGAGACTCTTCGCTGAACTACGTGTTTTGTGTTTTTCATCAATGTCTGGATGGATATTATTCATGAATTTCATCATTTCTCTTAGTTGTTAGTATTAACAGCAAATGTACCTTTTATATTTAAGAAAGGTTAACTTACACTGGATCTCAGGTTAATAATATGACTGCTACTATTACTACCAATTATTATTATTTTTATTATTATTATTGTCGTCAATAATGTATGTTATTAGTGAGGCTGTCTGAGATAATAGCTAGTGTTATCAGACTGTTATTATTTGTGTAAAATGGGTGATGATTCCTAGGGGGGGGGGTCGGGTGGTAGGGCAAAGAGATTGAAAATCTCATTTGTGGTCGATTCGAACTCGGCGGCCTATGTATTACTAACTAATCCAGTGCTATACCAATCTGAGTAAGGAGACCCAATTGCGAGTACACACTACAATCACCTGCTTAGCAGTTTAGTTCCCGTAGCCAACCAGCTGGTGGTGGTAAACCGTGCCGGGAGGCTGTGCTTGTTCGAATTCTGTACCACCGCAGATTTCCAGTTTATCTTCAATCATTACACTATATAAGTATTTATTATTATTATTATTATTGTTCCTTTGGGTTCCCAGTGGAACATAGTGCTTCAACTGCACGTCTCCACTTGCTTCTGTCTTCTGCTGTACTTTTCACTTGCATCCATGTTATTCCATACTGTTTCAACTCCTCTTCACACAATCTCCTCCATGTCACCCTTGGACGTCCCACTCGCCGCCTCCCTTCCGGGTTCCACTCTAGCTATGGCCTGAGGCGTGATGTCACCCAGCGGCCTCCTCAGTGAGTGTCCAATCCATCTCCACTTTCTCCTGCATATTTGTTGAGCGATTGGTTCTTGTTTTGTTTGTTCCCATAGATTCTTGTTGGTGATTCTTTCTAGCCATCTGATCTTCAGTATAGAGCGAAGGCAGCTATTGATAAAGGTCTGCAACAGGCTGTTCTTTGTGACCCACCAAGTTTCTGATCCGTATAGGAGAACTGACTGACTTGACGTTTGTATTGAAAATCCGAATTTTGTTGTTGATGCTGAGTGACGGAGATTTCCAAATTGGTTTCAGGTTGATGAATGTGTTTCGGTGATATGTATATATTCGTGTATATATGTATGTATTTACCCGTTTTGTTCTCTAAAACACCGGTCAATGAATTTTCGGTGGAAATTTTATCGCCCATGTCTATACCCTATTTGACCCTAGAAACAAAAGTTATGCAGATAGATAGATATGGATAGATATTCCATGCACACACCTGTTTTGATTCGGATTGTGTTACAATACTTTCATATAATTTCCCTCAAGTTAGTTATACACTTTTCTATTCATGTTTTTTCAGTTAAATTTAATCATTTCTAATATTCTACTTACACTAATTTTCTAGGCTTCCATGCTCATTTGTCACCTATTGCATACTTGGATCCTACATAGTTCAATCGGAGGCTGGTGATCATGATCCTACACAGCATATTGGCATAAAGTATATTCAAGATCATCCATTCGCACCGCATATGCTACAAACACCTGAAATGCTTGCAAGGATTGTTGAACTGCATAAACTTCATCGGTATGTTTTTAATACTAATTATATATATTTCGTTGAGGTCTAAAGGATCTTTCAAAATCTTGTAGTTGTATCATTTATTCCTATTATTATTATTTTCAAAATTTTAATCTTTGTATGAGGTTAAAGCATAATTAGTCCTCCTGTGGAAAGTGATCACTGTTGTTCTGGAATTCCAGGCACCAACCAAAGTGTCTTGTCAATCTGTGAATGACAGAACGCTGTGTGGTACACTTTTTCTGATATTGATCAGCAATGTCTGTAAAGTCTTGTTTCAATGTTGTTTAGTATTAGCACGTGTACTGCTCAGCAGTCCGCTCCGCCCTCCTTTATCGCTTGCTGGCTGACTGGTTGACTGGCTGTGAGATGTGAACATCGAAAGTGGAAGACATGAAAAACCAGGATAGCCAGCTAGCTGGTCAGCTGTCTCTGATCATAGTTGTCTACGTCCTATCTCCCATGTTGTTAGGTAGGTGGTGGTGGTAATAGGTGTAACAGACAGGGTGAGCGAACAATATTGAGGTAAGGCATCAGTTGGTCGGTCGAGTGCTAGATGCTAGGTAAGGAACGAGGATGAGGAAAAGAAATCAATCGACGACGAGGTTGTGACTCAGTTGCGTGGATTGAGCTGAATGGTTAGGACATGTGCTGCTCACGCATGCGTGTCTGCCTGCTTAGCCGTCGTCTTCCTTACTTGACTGATGGTGCGGGTCGATGTTAGCTGACTGACAGAATGGATCAATTTATGAGGTTGGAGAGGAGTTAGCTAGTGGTGGCGGTCAAACGAAAACATGGCTTCACCATCATCAATTAGTGAAATCCACAAGAGTTAGTTCAAGCCCGTTAGCCAGCGAGCCACGTTTGGAGGAAGGTGTAGACTGCCTGGTTTGGGTGCTCGAGATGATGGTGAAAACCGATGGCGACTGGAGACAAATTGGTGATATGGCTGGAGATGGTGCAGATGCTTTGTCATTTATCATATCCGATAAAACCCTACTGTTCTTCCATATTACTATTCTTTTCGCCTCACTCACACTTCTGTTTATTATCTGTCTTTTGAACCTGTCTTTACTCTGTTCTGCTGGTTTGTGTGGTGGTAGATGTAGGGAGTGTGGCAACTGGAACTGGTGGACATTTGTGCAAATCTCTATGTTAAAACCACTCAGTGTGTATTGTAGTGATTACCGGGACCTTTCGAATATCGTATTCATTCATTCAGCTTGTATTGTCGGTTATCTGTGACCAATTTTTTTTTGTATCTAAATATTATGTAGTGTTGAATTAACAAATTCCCAACGGTTTGAAAAAAGCTTTCAACAGCATCACTCTTTATTGTGTAAGCTTGCCTATGTGCCTATTATCCTTAGTCCATATTCTGCAGGTGGTGTGGTATGATGAAAGCCTTATTTTTATATATGGCGCATAATCTTCACCATCATGATAATCTTATCTAATCTCAGCAGGGTGGAAAGTTTTACAACAATTTTTAATTACACAAATAACCAGTGAGAGAGCACCACATTCATCGGCCTGTTACATTTCTTTTTTCGACAAGTTTCTGTACACGTATTCCTCCATTTGTATGTGTGTTTTTTCACCACGCACTGATTTCCTCCACCGATCCAACAGTCTGACTAACAATTTCATCATCAGCTGACGACATCGATTGGTTAAAGAACCATTGGAAAACCAGTAAGGAGGAGTACTGGTCAGCTGTCTCAGTTGTCCTAGTTTGCGACTCCGCTTCATCAGTACGCATCCACCCTGCTGGGGTTCGAAGCCAAGACCTGGCTACAAGGCCAGTGAGCTCGTAGACCATTGAGCAGCCACTGGATCCCGATCCAATGGTGATGTGCTTTTGTCCGTAGGTACTTGTCAAGAGTAATCTTTAATTTTGGAGTGTCACCTGTCTCATGGCACCGATTTGTTAACCAATGTCCAAATTCTGGTCATTTCGTGATTGGGAAAATAACTCACAACTAGCAATCAAAACTTTCCTCCCTCTTTAAATGATTTTCGTGCTCACAATTTTGCTATGTCTTTCCACTTTTTTTCCTTCACGTTCCCCAGTGGAACATAGGGCTTCAAGCTAGTGGCTTGAAGTTTCTGTATCAGTGTTTAATTTTACAGGATGGGGTTGCTAGCCTCATGCTCCACCTTTCCTCTTCACCAGCATTATTTGTGGCTTAGCGAGGTAAAGGAGTGCGTCGGTAGCCGGGGATCAAACCCCGAACCATGTGCAGGGTCGGCGAGCGTCCTAACCGCTATGCTACCGACGCACATGTCTTTCCATGGTTGAGTAGTATAGATCATAATATCGTCAGTGAATTAGTTAAAAGTCTTTATTTATTGTTTTCTCCGCTAGCACAATGTTATTCTTTAACAATAGATACCAACGGTAGATGTTATTTTTTGCATCAAATCAACTGAAGAGGTTATATTACAACACAATTCTACAATGCATTTATAACGCATACCATTCAAGTTGAATGACTAATTGGACAGCCTTCTTGTCAGCTCAACTAATATGACACGGATTAACACACACCTACACATGATTCTATAATAACAGAGGTGACTCAATAAAGAGCAGTATTTACGCATTCAGTCTGTTTTTTTCATTTATTGATTCGATCAGTTAGCTAGCTAGTCAATAAAAGTTTTAAAATCACACCAAGCGTATAAACTTAATTTTTCTTCCTTCCTCGCTTCTTTGCTTGCTCTTTCTCTCTCTCTCTCTCCCTTTCCCTGTCTCCACTGTCTTCTCAAATACTATTTATGCTCTTTTTCCATATTTAAATTTCATTATATTATTGTATCCATATGTTGAATTATATGTTTGTATGTATGTATGTGCGTGTGTGTCTTCAACCCCAAGATGGCCGACTATATGTAACAGTGTGTGGGTGGCGTGTAGTGTCTGCTCATAATCTATCTCGTGAACCGATTTCTGCATCATCCCCTTTTACTACTTTAGTACACAAATAATCACATGGATTGCAAGCAGAAGTTAATGTAGCATTTTTATGTCATTATAATTTGTTGTATATATCATCAGACTGTGCGTTGCGAGTGAGAGAGGAGTGAGTACGCTGAACCAATAAGAAGACACTAGATGTTGATTTTCGCGTTTGGATGATTTATGCCCGTTGAATGTCACACAAACGGTAAGACTTGCAGACAGGCAGGCGAAAACTGGCAACAAACTGTCTAAGCGGGCTGACTGAACGAAAAGTTAAATTCCTTTCAGGATTCCATCATGAGCGGACGACATCGTTCGGTTAAAGAACCATTGGAAAACCAGTAAGGAGGAGTACCGGTCAGCTGTTTCGGTTGTCCTACTTTGTGACTCTGCTTCATCAGTATGCACCCACCCACCCTGCTGGGGTTCGAACCCGGGACCTTCGGGTTGCAGGGCCAGAGAGCTTGTAGAGCATTGAGCAGCTACTGGGACCTTATCCAATGTGCTGCAGCCCATGAATTCCAACTTCTGCCAATTCACGTATGATATAGCGCAACTAGCACTAGCAATTGCCATCGGTGGCGAGTATTTGTCCCCACACCTGTGACCTTCTGTACCCCCGACTGGTCACCACTTCCCATTAGAACGTAGGCAACATTCATGGAGTAGAGATGTATCACATTACTGAGTTAGTATAACGGCTTGGTTCAGATGCTGAGAGTTTTATAGTTTGGTAACGGTGAATCCATTGGGAGACTGTGTTGCAAAGTCTTCTGGTGGTGGTAACCAAATGTGTTGTTGTTTATCAAATCATCAAATTATTCCTTTATAAAATATGAATTTTCTTTTCTCTTTTGTTTTGCTTGTTTTTCAGTGGTAAAACACCCGAAGAAGCTGATCGTATATTTTTGAATAATGCACGTAAATTAGCCTTGTACGGTGTTGATTTGCATAAAGTAAAAGTGAGTTCAGCTTCCTCCCCCACGCCAACCTTTTGAAACATGTGTGTATGCATACATTAATTCGCGTTTAAACCCCTTAAAATACGTTTAGTTACCACTTTTCTTTTTTGATAAATATATGTGTGTGTAGTTTATGTATTGAAACGGGTCTTTTATGTATTCGTGTATTACCTACCATTGAAACTTGTTAATTTGGAACTGTACCACATGGTTGACGATTAATCTCTTTTTTTAATATTAGTTTTTGTAAAATTTTTTGTCGTCTTTCTCGGATTTGTCGTTCAGTTGTACACGCTTATTACTGAAGTCTCGTTTGTGACATGTAAAAAAAACTAACTCTACAGTCAACCGACCATCTATCCGTAATACCGTTTCTGAGACCGTAAAGTTCATTGGTAATGCTGATTGCTGTATTTGTCCGTTGTGTGTTGACCACTTCACTTATTTGAGAAGTTGCATCAGCCAGTCCCAGTGGGTTATCTTCAGACATCCGTGAGATCCGGCTGGCTGGCTTGTCAACCAACCCATGGAGGATGAACTGGAAACGACAAGTGGGTGGCCAGTGTTTGGGAGGGGGGTGAAATGGAGGAGATCGTGTGAGTTGGTAGGAGGAGGAGGAGGAAGTGAGAGATTATGGGGAATCATGGGGCTAGCCAGGTGAAGAGGACAGCAGCTATTTAAAGAAAGCCGTGTATTCCACTCGAAACCCGGGGGAATAATAATAATAATATATACACATATATATTTGCATAGCACTTCCCACTCCCTCTCTGCTTCCATCCATCCTACTGATGCAAAATGCGACAGCTTTAACTCATTCATCTCGTTTGTTATGTCTGCATTCAGATGAGGAAGAAAAATTTTCTCTACACGCACACATACGCACACACACCTGCTAATTTTATCCTTGCGATTTAAACTTCCTTTAACTGTTTTACTTCACTCTGTTATACAATGAATCATTGTTTTTATCATTTCTATTATTTCCTCTTCCGATTGCATATAAAACTCAAGAGTCACTTCTGGTTGTGTTTATGGAATAATAATTTTTTCTTTCAATTTTTTCATTATTGGTCACGTTGCTCAACCAACACTGATCAATAAATTGGACTAAGTAAGATACATTGACTGACTAGAGATAGTAATATTCTTATAACTACTAGAAAGAGAGAGAGAGAGAGGGGAAGAGACTGTCTTGAGCCTCTGTATCCAACGCGTTACTCGTCTATTGAAAACAAATCAGCGTTGTTGTTATTGTTGTATCAAAGGCAAAAATGAATTTTGTTTTCACGCATGCATGCACGTACGCACGAACACACACATGCACACGCACACGCAGTACCTCTACCTCTTTAAATTACAGACATATGAATCGATATTTGTATATATATATATATACTTCATTTTAGCTTAGTCAAGAATCCACTAGGGGTTAATAATAATCCAATTTATCATTTCTGTTTTGTTCTCCTACTTCCAACAGCACACCACCATCACATGATCACTGGTATTTTATTTTGAAAAAAAACAATGTGATAAAACTCACCAAAGTGCGTGACATTCCTTCATTAATTTGTCATCATGTGCGTCTGATTCTCTGTTTGTGTGTGTGTGTGTGTTTATTGACCTGCTCACCAAGGAATCCACTTGTCTAGTAGTAGTGGTGGTGTATGGGTGATGACAAGCTCGAATCCCGTACTACTACTTTTCAAATACGTCTACGGGGAATAGTTTGGACTCATGGACTGATTCGATCCGGTATCCCCAAGATCTTTTTTCTTCTTGTTCCTTGACGTTCTCAGTAGAATATAGGGCGCCTTCAAGCTAGAGTTTTGAAGTTTCGGTAGCAGTAGTGTTTATTTTTACAAAGGGGGGAGAGGTGGGTTGCCTGCTTCATTCCTAACCTTCCCTCTTTACCAATCTTATTACTGTTCTAGCGAGGTAAAGGAGTGCGTCGGTGACCGGGGACCGAACCACATGAGGAGGCGTGGTTGGCAAGCATTCTACCTCTGTGCCACCGACGCACGATATCCAAGATAAATTATGTGAAAATAAGGCTTCCCTTTCATTCGCTTTCTTGTGATGATAAATGTGAATGAGTCGAGACTATTCATTTTTGTGAGTTTTGGTTATTTTTTGTTTCCTGAGAAGAGCGATTCATACACATAGAGTTTACCGCACAGTTGATTTTCTTGCGGAAAGCAGTTTGTTGTTACATAGTCTCATTTTGTGTGAGTATATTATCTTTTCAACAAGGCTGTGTTTACGAACCATTCATCATTCGGCAAGGTATGTAGTGAATTTTACAGAGCACTAATTGTGTGTCGAAGGGAGGTTGTAGTGGTTTATCATATCCAATAAAACTCGATTGTTCTTTTGTATTACTATTCTTTTTGCCTCATTCACACGTGTGCTTATTATCTCTCTTTGTTTTGCATCTCTGTTTACTGTCTTCTGTTGGTTTGTGGGGTACATGGAGGGAGTGTGTCAACTGGAATTGGTGTGTATATATCTGTACAAAGTTGTATGTTGAAACCACTTAGTCAATCTAACATCCATACCCCAATAACCCCCTTCTCCTCGCCTTCACTTATTAAACCTGACGATTATTTACTTGTGTGTTTGTTATTTGACTTTCAAATCTGAATCTTAATTGAAATTCTAGTCAGACAAATTTCACTGAGCAAAAATTTCAGAATCCAAGTTCGAATCCCGGTGGATGCGTATTGCTGAAGAGTCCCAAACTAGGACGAAACAACTGTCCAGTACTCCCGGGTTTTCCAATGGTTCTCTAACTAATGTCAGCTCATGATGAAAATCCTGTAGACTGGAAGATTGCTTAGAAAGAAGATAGATAGGTAGATAGAGAGACAGACATACCAATGTTGTTTGTCCTCTCATTTATTTTGAAACAGATGAAATTCAGCGATACTGGCTACGACCTTCAATTCATGTGGATTGTGTTCCTATTTTGAACGCTTAGTTTAAAACCTTGTGCGTCGGTAGTTCAATGCTAGAACAGAATGTTGTTCGTCAACCCCCCCCCAAGCACGTGGTCTGTGGTTCGATTCTCAGCTGGCCACACACACACACACTACTAAAATTCACCTTGTGACTACTAGCCCACCACCCCGTTCCGTAAAAATGCCCTTCATCCCCACAGAAATTCATAAAGACTGAAATCTTAAGTCCTATGTACCACCAAAATCGCAGAGAGGAATAAAATTTATTAAATTATCATGTCTCAACTGTTCATGTTATTTTTTTTCTTCTTTGCTCTTTAGACTTCTCAAGGTCAAGATGTGACTCTCGGCGTCTACTACGGAGGCATCCTATTATATCGTAATCGTATACGCTTAATGCGAATTAGCTGGCCACGAATCATAAGTCTATCACACCGAGGACGTAACTTCATAATATCACGTCGTCCGGGAGATGACTCACTAGAGCGTAATATGACCTTCAAATGTATCAGTCCAACACTGGCTAAACGATTGTACAATGTCTGCGTGGATCATCACAATTTCTTCAGGTAAATTCCATTTTGATAGGAACAACTTTTGCTGAACTTGTTATATTTTTGCAATTTTCATCTCCCGACTTACAGTCATTTAACTGACCAGTTCGAGTTGTTACACTCACTCCATGTAACACACAAAACAAGACAAGACAGTAAAGAGACATTCAAAAGAGAGGGATAATAAACCGAAGTGTGAGTGAGGCGAGAAAAATAGTAATATAGAAGAACAGTAAGGTTTTATTGGATATGATAAATCACAAAGAGTGAATGCATCTGCACCAGCCAGCCATATCACCAATTGTCTCCAGCCGCCATTGGTTTTCACTGTCATCCCTACGACCACAACCAGCCAGGCAGTCAGTCACGTTGGGAGGTGTAGACTGCCTGACTGGCTAATGGGCTTAAACTAATTCTCGTGGATTTTATTGAGTGATGATGAAGTCGTGTTTTCGTTAAACCGCCAACATCACTAGCTAACTCCTCTCCAACCTCATTCATCGATCCATCCTTTGTCAGTCAGCTAACATCGCCCACAGCCACTCCCGTCGGTCGAGTAAGGAAGGCGATGGCTAGGCAGACAAGCAAACACACATACTTGGCCAACACATGTCCTAACCGTACATCTCAACCGATGTGCGTTGGTGGCACAGTGGTTAGGACTCTTACCGACCATGCACATGGTCCGAGGTTCGATCCCTGTCGACGCTCTGATATCTATGGTCGCCCTGCAAAATTTGGGCTACCGATATCATATGCTGAAAATTCCATACTTGTACCAAAATACAGTGTGAAATCAAGCTGTAATCAAACAAATGTAACTGCTTGCTTCACAACCTCGTCGTCGATTGATTTCCCCTCCTCCTTCCTTACATAGCGCCTAGCACTCGACCGACCGACTGATGGATGCCTCACCTCAATATTGCTCGCTCACCGTGTCTGTTACACCTAACAACACGGGAGATGGAATGCAGCTGCCTATGATCAAAGACAACTAAGTAGCTAGCTGGCCAGTCTGACTTTCACTAGTCTGTCTTCCAATTTCAATGGCCAAGTGTCACAATCAGCCAACCATTAAGGAGGACGGAGGGGATTGCCGGGCAATACACACGCCTTTTGGTGGACACTTATAGTCATTTCTCTGTGCGTGTGATCTCTGTAGAAAGACTAAATAGGTTTTCCTTGTGATTTTCACAGAAAATGTGCGAAACTTTAGGATGCAGAAAACAGGGGAAACCTTTGTTTTTTGTGATTTTCAGTGGACTGTGATGTCTTCATAGCTGCTGCTGTAAACAGTTGTTGATGAACTAATCCACTTTTTAGAAGACTCCTTACTTGTGAGAATATTATGCTGTGATGAATGCGTTAACAAAATGAGCCTTTCCTAAGTGGCAGACTTAGAAGACAGTTTATCCCAGTCTGTGTGACACTCCTCATGTACACTCACCAAAGTAGAAATGTAATGCATTATATTTTAACTGATTCAAGCTATCCATTTTTACTTTTTATTTCTGCTGTTTTTTTTAAATTGAGTATCTCGTCTTTATATTTCATGAATAATCTTCATCCAGACATCAATGAGAGACACAAAACGTGTATTGTACAGTGCGGAGTCTCTTTTTGGCGGAGAATTAATTCGCTTAGCTGTGCAATCGCAGTTACATGTGTACACATAGTGTGTACATTAGCTTTCTCAGACAAGAATAAAATTATTTAGGGTTATTGTTGTCAGGACATTTTAAAAAATGTGATGAATAATCAAATTGTAACAAGGGGGAGGAGTGGTGAAGATTGGTGAGAGGGTAGTGCTGATGAGTTGTCACAACCATAGTTGTCGACGTTAGTTGAATAAGTGTACTGTAGTTACGTAATAAGGTTAATAGTTTAATGAATGCGTGAGTTGTGATTAAGATGCACATATAAATGAGGCGAAGGAAAATATGGAATTAATGTATGAGTTGTAATCATCAGTTAGAAAAGCAGGCACACAAACATCGATCGAGTGAGTAGAAGTCAACACGGTTGTCACCATGATAGTAGGAGTTGCTGAATGATTTCTTTCGTATACATAACTCTGATTTTTCCAACTGAATGTCGAAGACTTCAGCTTCGTTATTTTTTTCTTTCTCGTATGCATATAGGCTTCGTGGTTCTTCCAGGCCGAAAAAACCGAGTTTATTCCCTTCGTTTGCCACTCGGAAATATCATTATCCCGGAACAACTCTACGCCCACCATCATTGGAAGGTGGACACAATCAAGCCTCTCGACCACTGTCTAAATTTCGTCCAATGCCTTCACATCCTTCAGAGACTGGTAAGTGTATAATACTAAACTAAAACAACGTCGACTAATTTTTTTTGTCATTGCTTGTTATAATCAGTAAATACTGTATTATTTAAAGTGAACAGATTGCCAGCAGATTGTCTTGCCTAAAGTTGCTTCTTAGAGAACAAAAACGTTTAGCGCGTAGAATTCAAGTGCTATTTTTGTCATCATTATTATTATTATTCCCTTGGGTTCCGAATAGGAGACATCTAGGCGTTGTTCAATCTTCGGTAAAGTTCAACTATAGCGTCCCAGGAGTGCGAACGCACGAGTGACCTTCAGCTGACCAATCATAAAAATGAGGAATGTTTGCTCAAAAAATGATGCATATTGACAAGAAAATGCTTTAAAACGCATTAAACAGGTTATCTTCCTCTGACATGGCTTAAAAATACGTCCTAGTTGTAACGAGGAGTATCAGCTGATAAGTTAGACTAGTTTCTGTACATGTATTCACCGATATGACTACAGATGAACTTTTTGTGAATCGTTCATCTCTCTCATCCTGCTAGCAGTCTTCCAAAAAAGCCCTCGGTTGAATTATTATTGTTTCCAGCAAGAGGATAGACGACTACTTACCAGGAAAACGTAGATAATAGGAAAATTAAAATAAATGACATCAACTATAAATCTATCCCTAGTCGTAACCATAAGCTTAATCCTGACCCTAACACTAAACCTAACCTTAATCCTAGCCCTAATCATAACCCTTATTCAAACCGTAATTCTAACCCGAATGCTAATTATAACCCTGATCATAACCCTAACCCTAATACTTACCTTAACCCTAATCCAAACAGTACTTAAAAACGTGATATGGGTGAGATTTGCTCCTAAGTTCATGAATAGCGTTGATATTTCAGCTATGATAATGAAAGATGCCGTTAGCCAACGACTAGCATGCGTTCAAGGTCATTGGAGCGTTCACACTCCTGGGACGCTATTGTTGAACTCCGCCCAATCTTCTCCTGTCCTCTTCATCAGCTGAACACATGACTGCCACCCATAATCTCCTATTTCCTACATGTCAACCTCGTTTCCCATCCTTTTCCACTCGACCGTTGGCCGGCATTGCACGCGATGTCATTCAACGGCTTCCTTCCTCAGCGTATGCCCAATCAATCTATTTTCTCTTTCTTCTGCAGATTTGTTGAGCAATCGGCTCTTTGTTGGTTCGTTCATTGCCAGCCAGAGTTTCTAGTTACTAATTCTTTCTCGCCAGTCGGCTGACTGCGTGTGGTTGAAGCGGTGCTGCAGCTAAGGTCAGATAAGATATGTGAAGGAAGGAAGGAAGTGACCTCTTTCAACCTCTTTCTCCCATTCATGGTGATTGGTCGGTTGGTTATCTTCATCACCTTCTCCACGTTCTCTATGTTCATCACCTGGATGGAGTCCTGTCTTCGCTGTTTCTTCAACAAGTTTGCTGGTTTTCGCCTGCAAGTCTTCAAGTGTGTGACATTAAGCATAAGTGATCTGTGAGATCCAGATCTTTTAGAGTCCAACGTATTCCTGTCTACTCTCTCCACACAGTTTGATGCCTAATCCAGTCCACCACAACTAAGAATGTCATCGGTGGTAATAGGCAGCCTTGTCTTACTCCTGTTATAATTCAAGTGTGCAACAATATATATATATATATATATATATATATATATATATATATATATATATATACGCATAAATAGATGTCAGTCTTTTGAGTGCAGTTGAAATGTAAACTCTAATATCTTTGATTTTTCAATTGTATATAGACCCGTGAGGTTGCGTTTGTCTGGCAGCAGTGGCGACTCTAGTAGTGTCGTAATCCAGTTCACATGTCACACACGTTTCGTTCTATTTTTCTGTCTATCCGTCCGTTAAATTGTTCTTGCACATCTCTCGAAGTGAGTGATGATGCCGTGACATCCGCATCTCACTGTCATTCTTTCAAACACCGAAACGTTGTCTACTATAGGGCACTTAGCCAGATCTTGTGAAACTTACTCATTAATGAGTGTCGTAGTACCTATTACGGATATTTCTGGACTGAGCTGATCAAACAATTCACTTTCCCTTCGTAACCATGGTGAGTATCGAGGCATCAGTCCAAAGAATTCTGTATACAAAAATGAGGTTGTTCCAATTCTAGACAGAAATATCAACTGGCAGTCGCCGTAAGTATGGATAAACACTTTTAATGTATATAAGGTCGTTACTTTATGCATTTTTTTGTTGTCCGATGTTTTATAGCTCCTTATCGCCATATATCTTTCCCTTGTGTTGTACAGGTTGGTTTACTTTCGCCAATCGTGCTGAAGGTAAGTTGTTATACTTGTGTGTGTGTTGTGTCTGCATTCTTTAACTAATTTTATTTTAACTTAGTATGAAAGAAAGATTCTTAGTAATGTCTATTCTCCCACCTTTTCACATGACCATTGAAAGCGGAAGATACGAAAAGGCTAGCTGTGTTTGATCATAGTGTGTCTGCGTTCTATCTCCCGTGTTAGGTAGGTAGGTGTAACAGACACGGTGAGCGAGCAATATTGAGGTGAGGCATCCATCAGTCGGTCGATCGAGTGCTAAGTGTTATGTAATGAAGGAGGAGGAGGAGGAGGGGAAATCAATCGACGACGAGGTTGTGAAGCAAGCAGTTACATCGGTTGAGATGGATGGTTAGGACATGTGTTGCTCACGCATGCCCGCCTGCCTGCTTAGAGATCTCCTTCCTTACTCGACCGACAGGCGGGGCGGGTTGGAGAGGAGTCAGCTAGTAGTGTTGTTGGTGGAGGTGGTCAAACGAAAACATGGCCTCATCATCAGTCAATGAAATCCACAACAGTTAGTTTAAGCCCGTTAGCCAGCCACGTCGGGAGGTGTAGGCTGTCTGAGTGGTTGGGGTCCTCGGGATAATGGTAAGAACCAATGAAGGCTGAGAACAATTGGTGATATGGCTGGCTGAAAATCGTTCTCGGTGATGGCTGACGCTGGTGCAGATGCATTCACTCTTTGTATCTACTGTTCTTCCATATTACTATTCTTTTTCCTTCACTCACACTTCTGTTTTCTAACTCTCTTTGTCTGTTTTGAATCTGTGTTCACTGTCTTCTGTTGGTTTGCATGGTACATGGAGTGAATGTAGGGCAAGTGGAACTGGTGGACTTCTGTGTAAACTTCTACGTTGTGAAATCAGTCAGACAATCAATCAGCTCCACTATAATGGCTACTTCCACCTGTGTACGTGAAAATTTTGTTTTCCGCCTGACTGACTTCATACTTTCTTATACAAGTAGGATGAATTCACTCCTAGTCAATTGATTTAGAGAAACGCCCATTGGTTGTATATATATGTATGTATACTTATATAATTTTTTTTCAGGAAGTGAATTACTCATTCAACCTCTTGTGTTATTATAGTAACTGTAACTTATGTATACATTTTTGCCTAGCGTATCATTTTAATAATACTGCCTTTTTGAATCATTATGGGTGTTGAAAAGTCCTTGCTAGTGCTTTACTTTTCCGTAGGCTTGATATATTCAGCTAATCGAGCATAGGATTGTGTTTATTATTGCACAACAGTATCCTTTATCCTTTTCTAACTGCTTTCGACTCTGTACCTAGATGTCTCTTGCTAAATAAGCTCTTGATGACACAAACTGGTTGCATTCCTACTTCTCTTACAGAATGCAGTACACTGTGTACAAAGGTAAATCTTCCTCTGCTGTGCTCACTGAAGCTGGTGTACCCCAAGGTGCTGTATTCTCCCCACTTCTCTTTTCTTTCTTTCTACATGACTTACCATCTTCAAATGACATTAATTTTGTCAAATATGCTGACGACCTGACTGTATCTTTGCCTGTCAAGCATCAAAGTGACTGCTCTAAACTAAATGGCTTTCTTTCAGAAATCAGCCAGTGGTCCAAGGAAAACGGTCTGACCTTAAATCTCTCCAAATGCCAAACAGTCAATTTCACCTATAGGCATAAATCTAACCTAAACAAACTGGTTAGCTCTCACGAGGTGTACAACATAGATGGCACTGAAATAGAAACCAAGTCGGAAATTAAATATCTTAGAGTCATTCTATCTGCTGATCTTTCCTGGTCGTCTCATATCTTGATGATTTCTAAGAAAATATCTTACCTTCTACATCAAGAAGTCAAGACATTCTGGTATAACCCAACCCTTACTCCTACAATTCGTTAACTCTCGCATTCTGCCTATTATTCTCTATTGTTCCCCCTTAGTTTTTCCAGGGCTACTGAAGAAAGACTATATCATATTACGCAGGATGTTAAAGGTTGTCAGCAGGGTAAGCAACGTGCCACTTAACCAGCTTGTTAATATTCTGGTTGACAGGCAGGCACATGGACTCATGTGAAAAATGGGCTAAATCCATTTTATCTAACTCACACCACCCTCTTCACTCACAACTCTCCCCTTGTATCTCATCAGGCAGGATCAGAAGCCTATATAGAAAACTATATGCTCGCACTAGCAAGTACAAAAACTCAACCATACCCTACTTAGCTCGTGTTCTGTGCGATAAAGAAAGCATTAGGCGTGATACCTATAACTTATTAAATAGTCAGTAGAACAACTGGATCTCGTCTTTCCAGCTCATATCATTTAAAGGTACAACTTTTTCTTTCTTTCTTTTTTTGTTATGTACTGTTTTGTTTCTCTCTTCCTTACAAACTCTATTTAAAACATTCTTGTTCGGTCATTCACACCCTGTATATCTCGACTTTTTTGTTACCGCTTACGCCAGTAAATATAACAGCACCTACTTTTCTAACACCTTCAAACACTGTTCAGCTTTACCTCTGCTACTTACATGCCAATATGTTGTTGTCATAATGAACTGAGATTTCCTCAATCTATGTAGAATTCTATTTATTGATAATGTTCTAACTGGATGCAATACTGTAGTAAAAATGCTGAGAATTCCATTCTGTATCACAAGTACTGTTTTGGAATTAAGCAAATTATTATTATCATCATTGTGAAGTATGTTTGTTGGAAGTAAGAAAGCACCTGTAGAAATTGGCAGCATCTTCAACCACATCTCTCTCTCTCGTGTTAACTGGTTATAATATAGAGTCAGTCTGTGATGATAAGCTTATGTGTAGTATGTTCGATGTAGACTGAAATTTATTTAGATGAGCTAGGTAGGTAGGTTGTGGTGAAGTCGTAATTGGAGAAAGGTACTTAATTGTGTAGTCAGCAGCCGCCAGAGGAAAATATGCCATGAAGTCCTTTGTCTTCTTGACTTGATGAACCAGGTTGGTTGGCTGGTAGTAGTTGTAAGTAAACTACTGTCCGGCTGGTGGTGGTTACAAGATCCACGAGGTTCTAAGAATCGTTGTTTGTCAAGACGCAACTCTTCAAATTGTCTCAAAGTCGTCACATTTGCATTGGCGGAGAAACCATCCACTTACACTGCGTCGTTATTCATAATGTCCCAGATCCATTCAGCATTCATTATTTTTCCTATTTTCCTCGAATATTTTCATTCACCCGCATACACGCTTTTATGTGAAGTCCCTCATTGTTGTGCAAAGTTCAACTGTGTGTGTGTGTGCGTGTGGGGCGGGGGGCTTTTGGTCATTCTCTATGGTATTATCGTTCTGCCCCCGTGTGCTCTACTATTGGTATACCTATCCTCTCACTGACTGACCGACTGATTATCTTCACAAGGTTTGTTTGTTTGTTCTTTCTATACAGAAAAAAAACAATTGATTTATTATATTAACCGTGTATAAATAAATTATACCAATTAACAACTAGTGGTTTCTATCAATCAAGTGTTAAGAAGCTAAGAAGGGGCTAATTTATATTCTGTATTCATCTATACTGTACTATATATATGTATGCATATATAAATCAGTTGAGTAGTTGAGGTCATATCAGTGTCCTTATCTATATATATTCATTCACTGATATAATATATATATATGTCTACCGTATATTATTATTAATGCTGTAATATCGAATAGAGTGGGATTTGCATAATTGTAGTAGTAGTCTTTGTGGCATTTAACTGTAGAGAAAGTAGGCAGTTATCAGGGAATAGTCTCATTGACTTAGAATAATATGCAGCAGATGATATAGTCCCCTCCGCTAGCTGAAGACGCATTGACAAGGTTGGGGTGGAGTCTTCTCAACACCTTGAGCTTGACCAGCAATCTTCGAGTGTCTGGCATGAGAGTGATTCGCTCCTGCTGCTGTCAAATGCTACAGGATTGGACTACATCGACTACTCCTAGCTTAAAGATAGGCAGAAGTGAAGTGGTGGCTAGCTGGGTGTGTTGATCTGACCACTGCTTGACTTATTTGGCAAGTTGCATCAGCCCAGCAAACGAAATCTCAGCACGGATAGGGATACAGAAGGCTGGTTTGGCATTTGTCAGCCAACTAAACTTACGCCATCTCTTCTGACGTAGACGTGATATCCTGCTGACTATCAAACAGTCGAAGGACGTGTGTACTGTTCGGCAGTCCTCTGCGTCCTCCTTTATGAATGGCTAGTTGACTTACTGTGAGACATTGGAAGTGGGAGACACCAAAAGCCAGACCAGCTAGCTGTATTTGATCATAGGTGTTTGCGTTCTGTCTCCCATGTTGCTAGGTACGTGGTGATGGTAGGTGTGACATAAAGGGTGGTGAGCAATATTGAGGTTAGGCATCAGTCATGTTGCGCATTTACGTCTAGCCATTGCCTGCCTCGACCGACTGGCAATGACATAGCCGAAATGGGATGGATGCGATTGGAAAGGAGTTAGCTAGTGGTGGTGGTCAAAGGAAAACGTGGTTTCATCATCAATCAGTGTGATCCTCAAGAGTCAGTTAAAGCCAGCCAGCTACTTGGAGAGGTGTTAACTTCTTAACCAACTGGCTGAGGTTGTCGGGATGTCTGGAACCAATGAAAGCTAGAGACAATCAGAGATATGGATGGTTAAGTATGTGAAAACCGAAAGGATTTGTGAGTATATATCTACGAGTAGAGTCTTCCAATGAAATGTGTTTTTCTCTGATTTGTCTGAGGGTTGAGATTCTACCTGGATGATAAACAAACTGAAGCAGGTGGTGGTGGTTTTCTTACTATGGTGTCACTCTTCAGACTACTGACTTTGAAGTCTTTTCCACAAGACAGTAGTAGAACTACACTTTTCCGTGTTGCCCGGTGACCACGAAAAACGGGTTAGAGACCACGTTCGCACCATAGATATGGAATTAATGATCTTAAGCTCTTAAAAATTGACCTGCATGTCCCCCAGTTCTGTGATAAGCACTGACTGCTCCCATTCACCTATCA